TATCCATAAAAAGGACACTGCATAATCACATTACTGTACTTTACTGGATATCATTTCCGTGGAAAACGTGATTTTTGAGTACTGTACGTAAGTTACCCAGAATTGAAAGATCATTATATACATAGCGGAGAAATTAGGAGATGATTTTTGAAAGAATATTGAAATTGAAATGATGAATCAGTGTCAACGAATAAGCTTTAGTCAAAATTGCTGACCTTCATCACAAATGTTTTGCTCAAAATTGTGCTATTTTCTCCACAAACGGGAACAGCGGATTTCCCGATTTTCCTGCCAGTGAGCGGGGTTTTTTTTTTTTAGGGTTGAAATAGACCAGCTTCCCATTTTTCAATTCAGCATAAAGACGGCGAAAAATCGGTGACCGATGAATAGTACTTGTCTTCAGTTTCCCTATGCCACATTTCATGGATGAAGATTTGACTTTCCACCTATATCCCAGTTGTTAAGTGATGAATTTCCTAATCTTAGAGATACATTTCTTGTCAATTCGGTGCAAACTACAGTAGTTATTTCTTATCATAGCAAAATCTTGAGCTTTATTTTTCCAAATCCTCAACAACTACTTTCAGATCGCTTTATGAATGCGTTTCAAGAACCGCGAGAGAATGTGTTTCTGATGAGATTTTTGACGTTTTGGAACTGTAATAATTGGAGAGTATGGGTGATTCACTTTCATTGCGGTTGTTGTATCATTTTTTTTTTGTAAAAATGACAAGAAAAATGGCCAATGTTCGATGGATTTAAATGTTTTTCTATGCGATCGATTGAAGATGCGATGTGTTGGATTTTTGTGTGCAAATTCGGACAACCATTTCGGCTGTTCTTTTTCCTACCTGCTGAAAAAATAAATGTGAAAAACGTGTGTTGCCTGGTTTTTTCGATAATTTCCTGCAAACAAACGTTAGGGGTTATGTTGATAAGGTTATGGGGAACAAATTTGTGCAATATCATGGAATTTCTCTTTTGAGAACCAAAAAAAGTTAATTGAGGTTTTGTGCATCGTTCCTCCTTTCCCAAGTTTTTTTTTGTCAGCCGTGTGAGAATGTTTTTGAGGGTAATTTTTTTTATCTGATAGAAGAGAGATACAAAAGAAGCAGACCTCAGAAATTCTTCAATCAGTCAGATTGAAGATCCTTCTTTGCATGTGCGATTATTCTCGAATCACTTGTTTGCTTGTACGAAAAAAAGCTACCTTTACGTTTGAATTGATACTCGTATTCATCACTTTTGCAAATCCACCGCTAAAATCTCCTGGAACGCCTGATACATATTGTTTTCTAAAAGTCACAAAGCTTATGAACCAAATCTCTTATTCGAGGGATTATTAAGCTTTGAGATTTTTGAAATAGATCCAACGGAGTTTCAGCAATTGAAAAAACATTTTTTACTCGCCCACGGAAATTTTTTTTTTATTGGTGGGGTAAAAAAAAATTGAATGTTTCGAAACTCCGTATGGATCTATTTGAGAAAGTCTTAAAACTTTTGAACCAACCCTCGTACTCCTAAGGAGCGTCCTATCCTCAATACGGCACTCAGCCTGTCAGTCACATTGAAACTTGGTTTAAACCTGTTCCACAGTCAACCCTGTATATAATGTCTTTTAGCGCAACCCATCTCCCCTTTGCCCTCAATTGAATAGGACACATTGGAAACCCCATTAGGAAGTAAATGTCTACAAATACTGCGTACAGCATAGGAAAAATGACAAAAAAAAGGCCTCGTCTTTGCTGATGTTCTTATCCACTGAAACTCTGCCTTGTTTCGGTCGCACATCGTCTGAAGGTCCTCGAGTGGATTCGATCGACGGCAGTTTCTTGTCACACAATGACTGTCATCATCAGTACCAATTCCCACCTCAGAGACCTGAGGAACAATGAGTCACGTTTTTCGTCTGCATCTCACACATCGGAAAAAAAGAAGAAAATAAAATGGAATAAACCAGGGAAGAATTTCTTCGTCTCATTCCACGGAAAGCGTGGGAAGTCGACCTGATGGCACAGCCAAGCTCGTTATACGCCTCCGCTTATTTCGCCTCGGTTTCAGCATTAGTAAACATGAAACGTTTGCGGATCCACTTTGTTTCTCCGAATCCTTCAGCCAGCCTCTTCATGGTGAAGAACTCCCTGCTTATGTTGCCATTTGATGGAGTGAAACAAAAGCATGTCCAGGGTGCTGAGACTGCAACAACAAAAAGTGTTTTTAAAAAAAGTGAGATCTATAGAGAGATTTTAGGACTATATTGCATCAAGTGCGGCTTTCAGCAGCAGACGAGATCACAGTGCTGAAAGCAAAATCGTGCTCTCCAAAACAATAACAGGTGGATGATGTAATACGTCCAGGAATGTCATTCCAATTGCTAATTTATCACTTCAAAAGAAACATTTTCTATCTGATTGATCTTCCTGGCAATTGATGAATTACTTCAAAGAGTCGTAAAAGGAGATTACAAGAAATTAGATAATTCCTGTTCAACGAGTTCCAAAATATTTCCGATGTTATTCTAGAAACATTAATGATTGATCGATTGATTAATATGTTTTATTCCCGCTTGTCATCACCATCTCAAGGTTCAAAACATGTTTATTAACCTACCTCTTACCCACACACACCCCTTCAAAAATACAAATGATGCAAGCTAAAAGAAAGAACGAAATATGCATCACAAACCGAAATGCGGACAACATCTGAACATGTTCCAGGAAAATGGAATTATTCAAAAATGCAGCTGTCTGCAGTGAGCTCTCATTATCTTCCATTGGCCATCATGAAATGCACACCCACCTGTTGTGTATGTAAGTATAGCTTCACTCGTCTTCTTGTCAGAAAATGTTTCCAGCAGAGATACATTTCTGAGAACCATGAGCATGGAAGATTTTCCTCATAGTTCATCTGCTGAATGTGCACATCAGTATGAGCATTGTCAGGAATAAATCCTTGATAATAAAGATGTTTAAAAAATGATTTGAGTTTAGAAGAATTTGATTTTAAATGAAAATGAATAAAACAACAGAATTTAGTTTGGCTATGGGGTGAAATTTCACCCTATTTCAAGGTTGTTGTAATTCAAGAACACAGTCAAACACAAACAATATTCACAAAAATGCTGGAGTGTCTCATATGAGAGCTCAGAGTTAGGGATTCAGAAACCAGAAAAACTGTATTTCAAGGACAAATAACAGAACCAGGATTTTAGCAATAGAAAACAGCCTTGGAGGCTGTCATGGGTCCATTGGATCCCATACAAAGGAATTGAATTGTGCAGCCATCAGAATGCAAGTTTTGAATAAGAACTCAAACTCTTTTAAGGCCCTTTAACACTAGGTTATGACTTCTTGACTTCTCCTCTCAAAGAGGAATGAGGGTTTTTATACCCAGGTGCTTGGTCTGGGTCAGGAAGAAATCAGGTGATTTGTTCCTGGCTCAGGATTGGTCGATTTTGTAAAATCGAAGAAGTGATGACCACTTCTTGTCCTTGAGTGAGGCTCAGTGAGTCTGGCAAAAACGGGATTTTTGCAAGGCTCACTGGCTTCCAGAACCAACACGTTTTTGTGGTCCAGTTTCCACCAGATGCTGGAGCTGGGTTGCTTTGGTCCGCGACAGAGGCTTCTGGAAAATGTGTGTGTGAACCAAGGTTGTCCTTGGTTCACACAGATGTACAAGGACACGTTTTTCTGAGAATTTGGATTCTTCAGTTCTTTATTCAGCGTAACAAATTATATTCTAGCATTTCATTTTTGCAACAAGTATTTCCTGATGATGTGATCAATAAGTGTATTAAAAAATCTGAAGTGTGCATCATGGGAATTGTAAGTTTAAAAGGTTCCTCAGGATTTTGAAAATTGTCTCTTCCACAATAAGGAAATTTGTTGCGAAATATTGCATGTCAATTTTCATGAAATCACGAATCTTTCCTCGTAAATTTATTTCTTCTAAAATTTTTTTAGCACGAGACTTAAAACGTTGTCACTGATATTTACGTGAGTTTTTTCGGTTCCGGTTATTAAGTTTGTTAATGACTTTTTATATAAAGAAAAGATACGCAGTATATTCATTTTTCTGGCGAGAACTGAAAAAAAATTTTGCCTCTGCTGGTGGAATTTTTTTGCGACGCCTGCGTCCTCCAAACTTCCTCTGCAATTTCCCCTTCTACAGTATTCACATTATTACATTTTTTTCGAGGAGGTTCATAATCTGATAGGGTATATTAACATACTCGTAGTTATTCGCGCAGTTTTGCTGCTCTTTCATCTTTTTTTCCCTGCGCATAACAGACGATCCTGTTTGATAAATGTAAGAAATGAAGAGCTTTCAAGGATTTATTCAATTAAGCTCACGACATACGTATGCAAATGACGCCGAATCCCTCATTCGATCCTGACTCCTGGGTCCTGCAATTATAGCGAGATAATTACAAAAGCTATTATTATTTTCCGGAGTTATCTCTTCCTTCTTTCTCACGCGATAAGCATCTTTGCCCGTTGCAGTTTTTCGGCATACAAAATGATTTTAAACTGTGGCTCTTCCAAAAGTTTTTTTCTCATTTTTTAACATCAAATCAGAAGGGCTTTGTGTGGCATGAAAGATCGCTTTGAGAAGCCTGGGAACGTTTAAAAAAATAACTGGAGGATTCCGTTGAGTTTCGTTCCAAATTATGAATAATGTTTTTAAATGTTTTATATTGTTTGTCTATGCCTTATTAATTTGACTTTTTAAGCTGGCCAACAAAAGAAACCAAGATTTCTACTCAATCGAAACCGCAATCTCTGATTCAATTTTATCCCGAACTATTTCACTATTTCCTTTTATTGCTCAGCCTGTCATACAACACTCCGAACACAATTTTTTTCTGCGTCATTTGATAATTTCTCATCAGCCGAAGTCACGAAGGAATTGTCAAGAACTTTGAACAGAGTCCAACATAGTCAAACATTTACCAGACCCATTTGTGGGGGGGGGGGGGGGGGGAAAAAAGAGAAGAATCTCCTGGGTTTTCCCGATATGCTGATGGGTTATCGAGAAGCAGATCAGGGTGATCCACGATATGAAGCCGTTTGAAATGGTGCCGAACTTCTTAGTTTTGCATGTGCTGACGATGATTCTAGTGGCTTCTGTGTGGACCCAGAACCTGTGCCCAGCACCTGATGACATCCAGCCATGCACGTGTCACGAAGACACGACCAATTATTCTGCAGACATCGACTGCTCGTCTGTCGCCGACACCGACCACCTCCAGGAAATCTTCGCGGTGAGACAAACCCTGATGACGAGAATGATTTTCAAATTCCGGTGCATAAAATGAATTTCTTATGCAGTATTCAACAAAAACCCGCCGCATTAGCCCAAATTTTCCTCAAGAACATGATTTCAATTTTTGCCTTTTGGCTTCCATCAGTAAACGAGATTTGGGCAATCGAGGGACGCGGATTCGACTTGACAGCTTTTCCACCTTTAAATTAATAAATGGCAATATTATGCTGCATCTTAGGTTAAATATCTGCCCTTATTTCTTCAGCAGACCTCATATGATGAGCAATGCCTCAAATAATGTTTATAAAAAACTTCCTCATGCATTTAGATTTCCAGTATAAGTTTTATAAAGCTAATTTTAGGCATCGCTCATCATATGAGGTCTGCTCATACGTTGAACAATGTATATTTGACTTAATTGATTTTTTTTTAATCGGACACCGTTTCCTGATGCATCAATATACCCCGAAATTACTCATGTGGTCTCCAATAAAAACTGCAGCATATAAATCGTCAATCATAAAATGTTCCCAAATTTGAAAGAGATTAACAAAAGCTAAGCTGAATGGGTCCTTCACAAAATCGATTGAATTGCCTATATTGTATTGAATAATTTTATTATATTGCTCATTTTTACTTCTCAAAAAGAGGGATGCGTTCATGCCCACCAACCTGATGAGCTTCTTTTCCACGGGATCCGCTTTGCAACAACTGACTCCCAGAATATTTGGCAACGTGACATTCCGCAAAATAATAATTTCCGGAAGTGCGGTGCAATCCGTCGACATGAACGCGTTGCTTTCCATGGCCGGCAGTTTGGAGGAATTTATCGCACCCGGAAGCAGAATCAAACACTTCCCCTTCGAAATACTACCGGTTATGTCCAAATTGCGGGCGTTGGATTTGTCTCGGAATAACTTGCGAAAAATTGAAAAGGTATACTTTTAAATACTGTCGATTTCTAAGGTAAAAGTCTATCTTGAATTGAAAAGGAAGCAATTCTAGCTCAAAAGAATATACTGTATAAGAGCTTCCTGCAATCACAACTTCAGATGTGAAGGCTTTTTCGCAATTTTAAAAAAGCGACAAATTTGCGACAAATTTCATCGATAGAGAATTATTCAACTGATTCCGGGTTCAATCACATCATTGCCAATATTTGAAAGATTCGAATTTCTTTATGCAAATGTTTCAGGTTTTGAACAGGCATTTGAGATGCTAAAAATTGCTATAGTAAAGAAAAATCTGACCTGCACAACCTTGACAACCCATCTTTGTTACACAGATTTCAAAGGTTTTAAATGCGAAATGTTCTAAATGTAAGAGGATGGTTCTGGGTTTCCGGTGGATTTCTTCTCATGGTCTATAAACTCTATATGAATAAAAAAGAGCTCGAGCCTGACTTTTACATCATATTGCATAAGAAAAAAAATTTTCGAGAGACTTTCTCGTGAAAAAAATAATAACTTTCCTAAAACTAAATGAATATGAGAATCCTTGATTTATTTATGGTAATAATTTTAAAACGTATGCGTAACGCATTTATTTTGTAGGTGGAGATACAAGAAGTGAAGTGAACTCCAGTTCGCTGCCTAGACACATCTTCAAAAGAGCATAATACAATTTTGTTTCCAGATATGATGAATGATAATTATATTATTTTAAAATATCTGCAGGTTGTGAGCAATTCGTTGACTCACGTGAACTTACAAGGTAACATTATTGAAAACATTCCTGAAGATACCTTCCTTAAAGCCGTGCAACTTGTCGACCTAAAAATCGGCGGCAATAATTTCACCACTCTACCAAAAGGATTTCTGCAAGATTTGAAATCTCTGAGGGCTGTGGATATTTCTTTGGGAACCATAACGGTGAGTTAATTCGAGGAGTACAAAAGTTTTCACCTGAATGCTTTTCCGCCATAATATTGAATATTTCGAGAATAACTTCAATCGTATTCCTTCGTTCCTCATTGGTTGTTTTTGAGGGCAGAAAATGCAGAAAAAAGACAATGTCGGAAAAGTTTTGAATTTTATACCAAAACCGTGAATCGATTCACCCTCAAATTAGATTGAAATTGGGACTGCTCTCTTCGGCGGATCTAAACGCATTTATCTTGCCAATATTATTCGTGGAGTATAATATCAATAATTGATTGGCAGCATATTCGATGATTATGAAAAGTTATTCTTCATTCTTTGCCAGAAGAACTGGTATTTCAAAAATGGAAACATTTGGTACGATTTCTTCGACTTTCGCAGATCCTAGAAGCATCCTCATTGGCATTCACCAGCAAGAAAGTGAAGGAACTCTGGCTCAACATGAACTTCATCAATGAAATCTCTCATTTGGCATTCGATCGTAAGAAGAGAAAAGTTATCTAACTTGAAGACGAATCCGATGCATCACTAAAAGGATCCTATTTCAAATTTTCTTCCCAAAAATATGCAGCGGACGGAATAGAAAACACAGCGATACACTTGGAAAATAACGCGTTGTCTCAAATCCCAGAAGAAACTTTCAAACCTCTTTTTGTCGCTTTTGACCATTCCAAAGAGTCGACAGGATTTTTGCATCTTGACGGTTGGTGGCATTTTTCTTTTTCTTTAAACACTGTATCGACGATTGATTTTGCTCTTATCCACTAAATTCCCCGACAAGGATTTTTTTTAGATTGCTGGAGGGCAGATGTCGTTAGTTAAAATCAGTACAGTAATTAATTTATTCGAAGTCTCAAATTCAAATTAGAAATTACCAGTCCTGTATGTACACTTTGTACTGTACAGTACGGGACCAACCAGGAAAAATAATTCTGACATTACCTCACAATCACCATGTACGTGTCTGATCATAAAAAATGTCGGAACTCGTGTGAAATTGAGAAGCACAAGTTTCGATTTGTAAGAAGATTCATACTGTATATGAATCTTCATTCAAAGAAAAACTTCTATATACTGCACAGTAATCAGACAAAAATTCAAGGAAATAAATTGAATGCAGTTGCGACTGTAACTATATACAGTATAGGTATACAGTACAGTATATACAGTAGTTGTAAATCAATTGTAGCTAACGGGATGAACGATGAGGTGAAAAGATCATTTACAGAATAATCTCGTCACGAAGAATCTCGTTAGAGAGAATTATTGCTTGCAACAAATATGTTTATCATTACCCTGTCCTTCGGTTTGATTTTATTTAAATTGCTATTCACAACGGATTTATCTTTATACAGTCTAACGAAGCATTTTTCCGCAGGCCCCAACAGCTTTCTTCTCATAAAATTTCACTGCATATTTCTCATACAAATTGGAATTACAGGTAACCCAATCATCTGCGATTGCCGCATTCAATGGCTGGCAGAAAATACAAAATTTCTCAAGAAAGTTTCGGGACGATGTCGGGATGGAACGCCTCTACATTCTTTGAATGCTAGCATTTTACGGGAAGTTTGCTCGAAGCGAAAACCAGCATCGTCTGAAGAAAGCGTGCCTCATCCTGATGCAGTTTATATGATCAAAAAAGAACAAAAATCAGCATCATCATCTGAAGAAACCGTAACTCATTCTGATGCAGAAGATGATGGGACTTCACTAAGAAAACGTTCATCCCTTCGGTCTGTTCCGCTTTCCGAAGCACTTCAGCGATTAGCGCCACAGGAAACGCGGATTGAAATCAACAAATGTGTCCTGGATGATGAATCTTTCGAAGTGACAACTACAGAAGATATCATACCCACAACTAGGAATGACCGTAAAATCAAAATTATCCCGATGAACGGCAAAGAGCATTCAGAATTCGAGATACCGGTTCATCCGGGAAACCACGAACACGACACGTTCAATAATAATCCAAGAGAATCGGAAGATCTCAGCATCACTCAGCAGGAGGACGATCACAAGAACCATCACTCATCATCCGAGTCATCACCTACCTTTACGGCTAACAATAAAAGGAATCATCACAGGCATTTCAGAGGTGAATCGAGCGAAGAACAATCAAAAACAGAAACGATAATCAACTCCGATGAGAGATTAACGAGTTATCTCCATCGTCGTCATCGCTTCCAACGCGCAACTTTCAATAACCCGAGACAAATTCACGAAGATTATTCATTCTTCGACGATTCTAACAATGTTGCTACGCCAAGTTTAAGCTTCGATGATCGCTCGTCGATGAGAAAGAGGAATACATATCCGGCAACAGCACATGAGAATGAATTAATGCTGACCACTGCAAGGTATTACGATGATGATCACTCTGAATTAGAAATGCCGAGCGAACAAGAACAATCATCTGCGAATGGGGAGACGACTGAGTTCAATGATGAATTTATGAGCATGAATAATAAAAAGCGTCGCAACAGAATCAAGGAGTTACAAGAAAATGACGCGTCACATGATCGAGAAGACTTGAGTCACGTGAATACGTTCTCAACTCCTGATAATGTGGAAAGTATACCAAACAGCAGAGAGTCTACACATCACGATGATCACTCAAAAACTGAATCAAACGAAGTAAGAGAAGGGCCAATAATAACAACATCAGAATCAACGAATGTCGAAGGAAGACCAGCAGAGGTCAAGCTACTCAGTCAAGATGCACGGCTCAATAAGGTGCAACGAAAATTTGCGAAGGAACTCAACTTACGCCCATCACATGTTCGACACATCAATTTTCTGATACCCGAAAAAACAAAATAAAAACGTGCAGTATACAGCATGCCTGTTGAATTTTTTTGCAACGCATATCATATCATGTATGATATTGATAACCAACAGCAATAATTTGTATAGAAACCGTCCTGCTACAAGTATAGATACGGTATACGCGGTTCTTTATACAGTATCTTGCACACTGTATGCATATACAGTACAGTATACAATCTTGTATACACCAGTAAGCCTTCCTGTGCCCGTTTCACGATGCCCGGTCATTCATTCATGATTGGAGAAGATACTCAGAACGACATCTAGGTGCGCGCGCGGATAAGAGTTCTGGATCACTGTTCTGGTGGACGGACTTCTCGCCAGAACAGTACTGTACAGTACAGTGATCACCTGTACTGTAATCTGGAATTGAATCCTGGGGCATTCTGGTCGGGTTCACGGTATTTCCAGGGGAGAGGTAGACGAGAATAGGGAAGCGCGTTTGTTCATGACATTCATAGATGTCAGCATGATGGGGATGAAAAAGGTTAGGGGATAGAGGGAGGCAGTGATGAAACATGGCCGCGCCCATTTCCAGAGATCTGTTCTCCTTCGATTCAGGTTCGGAGTTCTATAGGTTTCTGTTATGAGTTCGTGATATGGAATATCGGTGTTGTTGAGGCTATTATTCCTTCAAATTCTAGTAGTTTGCCTATCAATCCTATCGAATTTTAATCTATTGTGTATAACTCTTTTATCACTGATCAAAGGAACGTCTTACGCATGTTTTATCCTTGTGGCTTGAATCATTGCGACTAGGTTTGTTAACCTGGATGAGGATGACGCGTTTCAAACTTTTCCAATTCCCTGCTGCCTTTTTGGGAGATTTTGCGTATTCACGGATACGCTTAACGCATTCATTACGCGTTACCAAGGTAGTTCTGTAGTTTCTTCATCACAACCCTTGAAAGGGCTTGATGTGACAGAGGTCACGTATGCATGCCCTGTTAGCTCTATCGGACTGCATTTGTGATCTTATGGTCGATTCAATGTGTTGATCTCTTCAGCAGTGTTCTTCTGTTGTTCGGCGAGGAAGGTTTTCAGGCGTCAGTGGCAAAATGGCAAACAGGAAGTTTTTTGTTGGTGGTAACTGGAAAATGAATGGAGATAAGAAGGGCATTGATGGGATTGTTGAATTCCTAAGCGCTGGTCCTATTGATTCTAGTGCTGGTATTGTAACTTTTTTTTTTAAATGGAATTGACTGTGTAATAACTGTATGTCATTTTCTGCCCACATAGAGGTGGTTTGTGGAGCCCCGCAGTGCTACTTGGACTATGCCAGGCAGAAGCTTCCTGCTAACTTTGGAGTGGCTGCGCAGAACTGCTATAAGGTTTCCAAAGGAGCATTCACTGGGGAAATCTCGCCTGCCATGATCAAAGATTTGGGATGTGAATGGGTCATTCTTGGTCATTCAGAAAGACGGAGCATCTTTGGGGAGTCTGATGAGGTACATAATTCGTCAGTTCTTATTTTCATATTCATCACAATCTAATGTTTCAGATTGTTGCTGACAAATGCGTGCATGCCCTGGAAGAAGGTCTCAGTGTGATTGCTTGCATTGGTGAGAAGCTGGAAGAGCGTGAGAGTGGGCAAACTGAAGCTGTCGTATTCCGTCAAACAAAAGCCATTGCAGACAAAGTTAAGAATTGGGACAAGGTTGTTCTGGCTTATGAACCAGTTTGGGCAATTGGCACTGGAAAAACTGCTTCACCTGAACAAGTGAGAGATTGGATTGACAATTCCGCTAATCCATGCATTCTACCTCATGTTTTATAATCTTCCCAAACAAAGGCACAAGAAGTTCACGTCAAGCTTCGTGAATGGCTGAAAGCCAATGTCAGTGCTGCTGTTGCTGAGAAAACCCGCATAATTTATGGAGGCTCTGTCACTGCAGGAAATTGTAAAGATCTTGTCAAGGGCGGGGATATTGATGGATTTCTTGTTGGTGGAGCATCTCTGAAGCCAGAATTTATTCAAATCATCAACACAAAAATGTAAATTTAACCATAAATGCAATTTTTAACCATAGATGCCCAATTTTTTTTGTTGTTCTTGGTTCAATTGTCTTTTGGCCTTTGCTTATGGTTTTTTTTTTTTTTTTTTTTTTTTTTTTTTTCTTGTTTAATTTGTCTTTTGGCCTTTGCTTATGGTTTTTTTTTTTTTTTTGTCCTGCTGAAGTGGGTCATCATTTAGAATTCTTTTTGGGAGGTCCTCTAAGTCATGTTGATTGATCGTGCTGTGTGGTTGAAGGTGGTGTTCATGACATTTGCATGATGCTACGTTGTGCAATAATAATACCTGGTAGAATCAAACGCTTCATTTCATTGTTCCAGGTCGGACATGTCACACTTAACAACTTCATGGTTTCAGGCTTGAATTTTACTTCGAGCTTTGTAAAAATTTAATTTGAGGGTTATTGATATTCCAAACAAAAATCTCCATTAGATGGGGTTCAATGGGTATCCGTAACTATTCCCAAATCCATCTGGCATTGCACATTCATAACATTGTGGTAAGATTGCAGTTGTGAACAGAAATGTCGTTTCTTGTTCAATTTTAAAGCTGTTTTCTATATGCAAAAGGGTAAAGATTCTTTTCTTGCTATTCAAATTTCTGAAATTTCTTGGCAACGAGGGATGGATTCTTTGCCAGGACTTCGTTGCTCAACTAGAGGAATTTCTTGGCTTGCTTCGTCATTTTGGTTTTCCTCCAAAGTTGTGCAGTTAGTTAGTTCTCTCATCCCCATTCTTGTCAAATTGTCCTCTGGTGATTGAAGATTGGCACATACAGTGATCACCAAACTCTCTGCGGCAGCTGACTTGATTTCAGGCAAGTACACTGATGGTCCATTGCTGTAAAAATAACAGTTTTTTTCAGCCCTGTGCCTGAATTGAAAACTGAATAATTCAGACTTCCGTAAGAATGAAAAAGTACCTGTTTTCTGTTTGCAGTTATGCGCAGTGGTTCAAAAGTATGACTACTGTACAGTAATTCAAACTATTTACTTTTACTGTGGAAAGGAAAAATAAAATTTGGATTGCGCACAGAAATCAGACACCTTTCGAAAAACGCCACATTCAATTAGTTGGAGGAAATGTGTGTTATCATTTGCCTTGCTTTCTTGTTAGCGGCGTTTTTGGTGTCATTCTGAAGTTGATTTGACCCTCGAACTGATGCTCCTGTCAAGCTGGAGAATCTGGAAACCCGTCGGCGTCTCCATTGCATTCCACGCACCCATCGTTCGTACTCCTGCTTGGCTGCTGCTCGAACTTCCGAGTTCAGGAAGCAGTAAAGTAGAGCAACCACGAAACCCTGGCAAATACAGGTGATTTTTACATTGAATTAAATTCCATCTGCATTGATCATGTAAATGAAAATAATATTGGGCGGAAAAATAATTTTCAAACTTCTGGGTCCAGTTTGGTTGCCGTGAGTCTTGCATGTATTATTTTAATGGAGATTCTACTCACGAAATTTTTTTATTTATTTTAAAAAGGTAGAAGAAAAATACAGTATTCTGAAATATTTGCGAAGGCGACAAGTTGAACCTGTGGGGAAGAAGAAGTCAATCTGAGTACTGTACTGCAACTTGAAAATAAGTCAATTGACGTCAAATTCTTGACTGACGCATGAGAAAAGAATGGTCACGTTTTCGTCTTCTTCGACCCCAAAAAAAATGGGGGCCATGCACATAAAGGGATTTTGAATGAATTTTTAATTGTGTACATTTTAAATCGTTTATTTCCCTGCGCATTCGGGGATATATTCGGGGTCGGTTGAATCTTTGTCCCCGGGGGGAGACATTTCCTTACCTGAGAAGATTGAAGAGCTGCATTAGTGATGAGATATGCTGCCCGTGGTGGTCCTGAGGACCAGTAATGGAAGAAAACCAGGTTAGTTGTTCCCAGGAGAGGGCAGAGTACCAAAGTAGCTTTCAAAGCTTTTCTGGAAATGAAGATAAAAAAGGGTTTGAAGCATGAAGATTCAGAAGGCGGGTTGGACCCATTTACAATTTTAAAACGCCGGTCATTATTCATTTCGAAATTTTGAAAAACATAATTTCTGCTTACATAACTTGCTGGACTTCAGACATGGCGCTGCTCTGCATTTTTGTGATGAGTATCCGGATGATGTTGATCAGAAAGAACACGTTGGCCTGGAAAGTTCAATGCATCCTGCTTGTATTAGTCTGATATGTCTTAATTAGAAATTGTTTGTATTACATGTCGTGATGAATAGCTGACCTCGGGGTACTTCTTCTGATTATAATCTATGCCTGTCGAGATTTTTGGATTTATATCTAAGCTGCTGCAATGATTTTGCATTTTGTGCATCATATTTAATTAAAAGTCACAGCATGATTATACCTTAACAGTTCAATCTCGTTATCTTGAACCTCCCTATGTCAAATTCTTTTCAAGTTCCTGTCAGAATTTCCCTTGAAGCAATGCAGTAAAAGCCTTCATAATTCAAAAACTTTCCTCCTCAAATCTCCTGGATTTTAAAAATGGGTTTTTAAAGAATTTTCAAGACCATCTCGGCAAATGAACCCTTGCCTTCAAGTCCAGCATCTTTTCAACTCATTTGTCCAGCAGTTCAATTGATGTCAAAATCACAAATTTCACTTTGCTCTAATAAATATTATAATAATTTCTAGCGGAGAACATCTGTTCCCCTGACTCTGATTTTTATCGTGGGCTCTTCAATAGTTTATCGTGAAAAGGTGCGACTGTAACAACTATTCATGATAACAAATTTATATATTATCTGTGAGTCTGTCCTGTGTATCAGCTGACGAAGCCTATCGATATTATACCAATCATGAAATACTTAGCTAAACATGGTTCAACTATCCCAGCAAATAATATCCCGGTTAACTGAACCAAACCTGGATTATGACTGAAATAATTACGCTTTCCTATACTTGACTTGAAGCCGAGCCTATTTTTAGCTATTTAATTGCTGCGTCGAAAACCGGAAACTGTACCCGAAGACACTTTCCAATAACTATCCAACTGTTACTTTAAATTTATCTTGAGCTGTTTTCTTGAAATTTGGCTGAAGGATTGGCAAGTGGCGTATAAGATCACTGAGAAGAGGAGCTTATACAGTAAAGAGGAAAACTTGAGTATATCTGCACGAGACTCTCGTCTGAAAATGTGTATCTCTGGGTAATTTAATATTTATGCGCAATTAAACTTACCTCGACGGACCTTTTCAATTCGATACATTTCAGCACACGGTATTCAGTGATTCTTTTATGAAATATATTAAGAGAGAAATAAAAAAAAAGTTACCGCCAGTGTGAGAGTCATGCCACTGAGCAGGATCCAAATGTAAGGAAGCATGTAGTAATGACGCCAGCATTTCGTAGGGAATGTCCGTGTTTTATTGGCTTCCTCGAAGTGCATTTCCGTGGCTATCACCCAAGGTATTACGAAGACCAGTGGTAGCCCTGAGATATAAAATTCATTAGTGTGTTGCGAAAATTGGATCAGATTCGCCATTATGCTGCTCCCGATTTGTTCTCGTCAGACGCCTTTAAAAATGTATTACTGTACTGCCCAAATGAGTTTCCCGAATTTCACTGAACGATTTTTATAACCTTTTTTTTGGATTTATTACTCTGACTGCAAACATTCGGATTTTCCCGAAATACTGCAATTGATCACTCGGGAGTCGTGAGCAAAAATGAGACAAAAAATTATTATGGGATCTGTACGTTTACTTTGGGCGACATCTAGTCGACCCACGACAGGATCCAAAGTTGATTGAGAGGGATGAACATGTTTTTAAGAAAATAGCCGAAACAGAATATCCCTATTTAAATTTTCCATTATTCTATCTTTCCCGAAATAAAATTGTCATTTCCCTATCTCAAAATGTCCCTCTAATTTTCAAATTTGTTTTTCTGGTCCCTTGAAATTCGACTTATGGAGAGGTTTGACTGCTTGCATGTATAAGAGCGTTATTTTACAGTGCTTGTAGCAAACAACTGATTTTTTTCAGTTTTGGGTCCCAGAACTTTTGAGAAACATGGGAAAAATCTCTTTAAAAAACTTGTACAGATATTCATGCAAAAAAAAAATCTCACCCCAGCCGATGAATCTATACACTCGAATCGGAGCTCGTCCGTCAAAAACGTTTGTCACTACCCGACTGTGTAGGAATAATCCCTCGACGAACATCCAGAAAATGGAGCTCATGGAGCTGTAGATGAGCAGAGTAGTGATTGCCTTGCACAACCAGTCCTGTAATCATCCGAAACACGATTCCCCGTCAATTAATCCTCGGAATGTTTCTCGCACATATGGTATATATAGTCTAGTAGGGTCTAGATATCCCCTCGATATACGTAATATAACGAGCTAGGCGCTGGCTCATCACATATATGGCTCTATTCGAAAGGTTCCATTTCGACTAAAAGCTCTGTCACCCTTTTTATACTGATGCTGAAGCAGTCCCGAGAATATCGTATACAGTTTATATACCTTCTCCGGAATAGACGCGTATTATCGCGCTGAAAAAGCACTGAAAATTTCCACGTCGTCAATTTCATCCGCTTTCCTGCTCTTGGCAGTTATTGAGAATTCGAGGATATGTTCGCTTATTTTGGCATTTTTTTTTAGCAGCATGCAGAATGAATCATGCGTTTTTTGCAATTTGAGTCGAGAAGCATCGTAGGAGGTTCGCCCTTTTATCCATGAAGTACGTATGGGTTCTGGTTTTGAGTTTCTTCGGTAACCAAACAAATAAGTTTCGGGAAAGAGTCAGCGGAAAGGAAGATTCTTGCTAGATGGAATTTCTTCGAATCCGGGCGATGTTTGGATTTTTTTTTCTTTTTTTTCGCATATATATGGGATATATGCTTTCTTAGGAAAATGGTAGATTGATGCTTTCGGTAGCGCTTTGTTCTACGGGAGAAGAGATCCGGTGTATTGAAATATTTTGAGAATGAAGAAGAGTTTTGAAATCCGTTTTTTTATACGATTACTGCGAAGATTATTCGGAAGTTGTTTTTTTTAGTACCTTTGACAAAGCTTTTTGGAATAATAATTATTATTATTTGGATTGAAAGGCGCAGATATTGCCTTGAATTCTTTTGTTACTAATTTTGTTAAATTTTTAAGGATTAAATTCGTCAATTTCCTTTTCAAGAAACCTGATTCTTCTGCGGAATCATGAAACATTAATTTAAAAACGCGAAAATTCTTCTGAAAATAGGTTTTCCATTCTTCAGAAGGGTTGATGTTGGTTCTATTCAGGTATCGTAGGATATAACACAGTACAGTATATCGGAATACTGTACATG